TCCTTTCCTGTCTGGTAGTACTCCTCAAAAATCATAGCCAAAGCCATCATAAATCTCTGGAGGAGAGTGTATTTCGTCATAAACTCAGCACATCCCCTACAAATAAATTGTTAAGGGCAATGCCACTATCAAAATAATGCTGAGATGCTCAGAAACTCAAGTACAGCTGTTCTCTGACACAGCCATGATTAAGTGACTTGACGGCACTTAACAACAACAACAACATAGTGGCATTAGTTACATTCACCATGTTGTACAACCATCATCACTATCTATCCTCAAAGATTTATATATACTAAACAGAAATTCAGTATCCCCAAAGTTGTTTTCCAGTAAACACTGATAAACTTTGGTTTGTATGAATTTACTTATTAAAGATATTTCATATAAAAAATAATAAATAACCACAGCAAACAAGGAAGCAAAGCCAAGTGAGAAACAGCAAGAAAAAAACAGAACAGGTAGCAGAAATCATTTGACAGTAGTTCAGATAGATGTAAAACAAATATGTTTGCTATGTTTAAAGAAGAAAATTAGTTTGAACAATAAAGACAGAGAATAAAAATTTTTAAACTCACATAGCAGATTTGAGAAAAATTAGAAATAAAATAACAAAAGTGTTTAAACCTCAACATTTTGGTGACAAGTTGAATTTAAAAGAGAACTGGTGAATGAGAATATAAGATATCACCTGATTGCAGAGAAAGACACAGTGATAGAGATTATGGTGGAGACAAGAATTGTGGAAGATAACGCATTTGACCTAGTCTCGATGGCTTGATAATCAGAACTCAACTAGAGGAAGATATAAAAAAACAAAAAAAAACAGTTTTTGATAAAGGAAACAAGGGTAAATTGCTACAATTTCATGAATTTGACCTATAGTCATGGATGTAGTAGCTGAAAATACCAACAGAGAGGGTAGGAGTCTTCAAGTATCAGTGTTATCCCCTCTGTACACAGGGTAGTAGGGATGGGCACCTTAGACATTGGCTACCTAAAATGAGGGGACGATAAAGGCACGAAGTGACTGGCTTACAGGGTTTCGGGGGCGGGGGGGAGGAGGTTAGTTTAATACTGTGCGGGGAATAAAGAGTCCCCAGTGAATACTTTTCATCTTGTCTAGATGGGTCTGGTTAAAAGAGATGGAGATAAGATTCTTATGATTCAATAGTGAGTAATTGTTATCATGACTAATTTGAGACTGTCACAATTGTAAAGGTAGAAATTTTTTTTGTAACAAAAACAGGGGAGTAGTTAATCTTACAGTCCAGAAACAAAGGACCTTAGGACCATCAAGGGAGAAGTGGAATGCGGGACCCTATCCAGAAAAGCAGTGACATGAGATGGAGGCAGAGATGGGGACAGGGAGAGAGGGAGCAAGTGATGAGGACTCTAGATTCAAGGAAAGAGAGGGACTAAGAGATGGCAGCCAGGAGGCAGGCTTGCAGAATGTGCCCTTCGGTGGTGTAAATTATTATATATGCTTGAGTGTTTTAGTGGGGGAAAAAGAGCTAAAGTGAATAGAGAGAAATACTGTTAACTAATGGTACATGGAGGGGATTATAATCATTGTAATGAAACAAGGTGTATGATTTGTTGAATGTAAAGCTGATGATGGGCCCTGTAAATTTTCACTCAGTCCACAGTAAAAACCTTAAAAAAGAGTTGTGGAAGCTAAAGTGAAAAATCCAACAGAAATTTAATGGAGTCCTAGAAAGAAAAGAGAATGTCAGGGTTTTACAGAGTTGAAAGACACCAGTTCACTGAGTAGAGACCAGCAAGGACACACATCATAAAGAAAAAAATTGTTTAAATAAAAACTTGAAAGCTGTCAAAAAAAAATGGCAGATTATCTTCAAAAGAATATATAGCTTTTTTAATAGTAGTGGAATGATATGCTCAATGTTGAAAAAAATACCTGCCATTATAGATTTCTACATGTAGTGAAAATATCTTTAAAGGAGGTAAAAGATACTTTCAGACAGAAAAAACAATTTATCATCAACAGATCATTGCTAAGAAAATTCTTAAAGATGGACTTCAGGCAGAAGTGTGCACACATGGTGTTGTTGTTAAGTGCCTTCCAGTCTGTTCCAACTCATAGCTACTCTGTGTAGGGTTTCTGAGGCTGTTAAATCTTTGTGGGAGGAGAAAGCCTCATCTTTCTCCCACGGAGCAGCTGGCAGGCTCAACCGTGGACCTTGTGGTTTGCAGCCTAGTACTTATAGTATGGATGGAAGGTCTAATATTACAAGTAGGAATGAAGAAAAAAGAGGTAAATACAAATGTAAATGAAAGTTACATGTATAAAAAAGTAATGTCTACTGGATCATAATCAACACGAAGTAAAATATCAGACAGTTTCCAAAGTGTAAGATGGTAGTGGCTTGGAAATGAAGTTAAAATGTTTTAAGATATTTATGTTATCCAGGTAGAAGTAAAGGTTTAAATTAACTTTTTAGACTTTTAGAACTAACTGTGTATTATAATTTCTAAAGTAACCGATAATAAAGAATAGGAACAGATAGTGTACTTTCCAAACTATTTATTGTTGTCGTTAAGTGCTGTAGAGTCAGTTCCAACTCATAGTGACCCTGCACAGGGTTTCCAAGGAGCGGCTGAAGCTTGACCTGCTGACCTTGTGGTTCAAACCAACCTTGCAGTCCAGCACATTAAACCACAGTGCCACACCAGAACTCCCACCAAACTAATATAAGGTGGGAAATGGAATGATTATTATCAGTTACATTCTATAAGTTAATTCTGAAATGTATACAGAAATGCAAAAGACCAAGAATAACCCAGATGCTCATGAAGCAAACAGACGAGAAGACTTTTTCTACGTGATATCAGGCTTTATTAAAAAGCTGTAGTGACTAAACCTTGACATTATGTGAAGACAGGTGAACAATGGAATTGATACAGAGTGCCTAGAAGCAGTCCTATATATTTATGTCTACTTGTCATATGACTACGGTGACACTGCAGAACAGAGGAGAAGAAAACAGATGACTGGGTCACAAAATGAATTCCAGGTGGATTAAAGAAAAATTCTAAAAGGAAAAAGGAAAAACGAATCTTTCATATAATAATTTGGGGCTTGAAAAAATGTTAAAAAGAAGACCAAAAATTATTAACCACAGTAGAAAGGTTAGTAAATTCAGTTCAGTTTTAAAATGTGTTATCAAAAGAATCTATAAAAAGTCAAACACTGGAGGAGTGAAAGATATATGTATAACAATTTTAAAGAACTTTGCAAATGAAGACAGACACCCTAGTAGCAAAAGACTTAAACAGGCATTTCACATAAGAGAGGTTTAATAAATACATGAAAAAGGTACTCAACTTTAGTAATAAAGGAAATTAATTACAAACTACAATGAAATATCACACACCTACCAGATTGGCAAAACAATTTAATATCGTAATAAGTATGAGGATATGAATCAACCAGTTCACACACTGCTGGTAGTATTATAACTGTAGTACAATAATTTTGGAAAACAATTTAGCATTTTCTAGTACAGTTGAAGCATTGCACGTTCTGTGACCAAGCAGTTCTACTCTTTAAGTGTACACTCTAGGGAAATGCATGCACAGGATACAGCAGCATTATCCATAATAGCCTGAAACTGAAAACAAATGTTCATCAAGAGTAAACTGGAAAATTGTGACTATTATACAACAGTGAAATGAATAAACTTCACCTACATGTAATAATGTGGATGAATCTACAATGTTGAAGCAAGATAGAAGAATATATCACAGTATGATTCAATTTAAATAAAGTTCTAATCACTGTCATGGCCATAGACATTAACTATATTGTTTATGGCAAGGATCTGCTAAGTTTACCTTAAAGGGTCAGATAATATTTTAGGCTTTAACATTCATTTTGGAACATCTTTTGCAAACACAGCTAATTAACTTTAACTCTGCAGTTGGAGTCAGAAACAGCCCTAAACTATACTTACCTGTGTTCCAGCAAAAGTTATCCTGTAGTTTATGGGTACATGTATTTGAGATAAAGCTGTTTTTTAAAGGAAGAACATGATAACTATAAAAGATAGGTAAATAACCATTTAGAGGAAGGGAGGAGTTTATGATCAGGAAAGGATAAATGGTCTCTTCTTGGATGCTGACAGTAATCTCTCTTGACTTGTGTGGAGGCTGCACAGCTGTGTGCTTTATATCTTTAAAAGTTCAACATAGAATAAAACAAGTTTTAAAAATAAAAATTTCTGTGCTTCCTTAAATGTTCTTTTATTATTTAATTTTAGTTGATTTGTATAGTTTGCAATTGAATTGTTCTGCTTATTTTCTGAATTGTGTATCAAACAAATATTTCTAAAAGAATTTAAGTAATATAAGAGTTGTCTTACCTATGCTTTCTTTTCAAATCAGATAAAGTAAAAGGCTAAAATACTATATAACATTGCTTTTGATTAATTAGTATATACGAAGGGGCTTCAAAAAGGTCATGGAAAATGGAATTGAAAGATAACGGAATTTTTCCATGAACTTTTTGAAGTCCTGTTTTATACCTAGGGGAGCGTAGTGGCTCCACATGATAAGCACTGTGCTGCGAACCACATGGTCTGTGGTTTGCATTCTGCCAGTCGCTCCACTGGAGAAAGATGAGGCCTTCTGGGCCTGCAAGGTTTTTTGGGTTTTTTTCAAAGCATCAGAAAATATACAGGGTCTATGAGTAGAAACTGACTCCACGGCAACTAGCAACAACAACAACTCAGACATTCAATAGTATGTGTTAGAGAATTGCAGGGAGTCCTGGTGTGGCACTGTTAGTTAAGCACTGGACTGCTAACCACAAGGTTGGCAGTTCAAACCCACCACACTGCTCCTGGGAAACCGTATACAGGGTCGCTATGAGTTAGAACTGACTTGCTGACACTAAACAGCAACTAGAAGAGGCTTGCAGATTCATCTTGATTTTTATTTACAGCATAGTATTCACAGATGTCTTGTTTTATTTACAGGTTCAGTAGATGAAGGTGTCACCGAGGGGTTACCTACACTTCAGAGCTCTTCTAGCACTAATGCCCATGCAGATGATGATGATCGGTTAGTACTAACAGTATATAATCTTCCTGTAAGGGTTGTGCTTACAACTCTCTAAATTCAAACCTTTTATCTGGGAATTAATGTAAGACGTTTGTTTACTAGAACCTCATCAATGTACACTTTTCAGTGTGATTAGGTAATTTCATCACATTATAAATTAGACTGCCTATACTTTTTTTTTTTTTTTTTTTTTGACATTTCCAAATCTATCGAATCCCATTGCTTTAAAAATTATGTTAGAGGTCAGCAGATTGTGAACCACAGGTCATTCCCCCCCACACACACACACTCCCTATATTGGTAAATGGTTTTTATTAGAAAAAAGCCGTGCTTATTTGTTTGTATATTGCCTACGGGTGCTTTTGCACTCAAATGCAGAGTTACAGTAGAGAGTGTTTGCCCCACAAGACCAAAAATGTATCTTTTCTGGTCTGCTACAGAAAATCTTTGCTGACCCCTGATGTGTATTCTCATACTTAGGAATCCAAGATATGATCTCCAGCACTGGTCCTCATAGCTTGATATTTGCACATATACAAGGGACATTTCAGACGTGGTCTAAACAGGACTCTTGATTTCTAACTCATCCTCCAAATTCTGTTCCTCCAGTCTTGTCATTTCAGTAAACATTATCCACCAGTTTCTCAACCAAAATCTTTGGGAACTATTCTTGATCCGTCTTTCTTTCAACACTCCCCATTTTCCCTTCCCATATTTAGTCTGTCAGCAAGCAATATCAACTTTAATTCCAAAATATAACCTTAATCTGTTCACTTTAACTCCATTTTTGCTACAGCTACCCTTGTCCAGGCCACCAGCATTTTTGTGTCTTGACTATTGCAAGACCCTTCGCGTTGGTTTCTGACTTCATTTTGCCCATGCTTCAGTCCATTCTCTACACAGTAGCCAAAATGATATTATTTCTAATAAAGTCAGAATAGTCACGGTTTAAAGCAATAGATGCTTAAAATTCTTCAGTAGATTCCCTTCATGCTTACAATTAAACTACTTGCTAAAACCCTTACATGATATGACTCTCGCTGGACTCCCTTCAGACCATTCTCACCTTTGCATATTACTTTCTAGTCACATTGACCTTCAAGTTTTGTAATACTCCAGATTTGTTCCTGCTTTAGGGCCTTTACTCGACCTACCTCTCTTACCACCCCACCACCACCATTGTTGACTTTCAGATCAAAGAAGCCTCTCCTGACCTCCAGTCTAATACTTCACCCTGTTTTAATTCTCTGCTCTAATAATCACTTATTGTCTGTCTCCCACCACTGTAGACTCCAGTGAATGATTAAGCAACTACTCATAGAAAATCCAAGACATACCTAAAAACTTTGTTGAAAACTTTAAAGGATTCAAATGACTCAAAGTTTATTGTCCTTGAACTCCTTGCCCTCAAGGAGCTCACTCTATCTGGGGAAGGAAGTGAGATTGAAAATAGACAAGTTGATAGTAAAGCTGAGGGTTCTATTACTCTGCATAGGAAATTACCTACCTAAGCTACAGGAGGTGAGACTGAGCTCATCACTAACTAGGTTTAAAAGGTAGGCAAGTAGAGAAAGTTCAGTGTGCAAAAGCACATCACAGAGATCATTGGAGAAACTATCTGGAATAGAGTCTATTTGTACTGCAAAGGGGTTTAAACTTTATTCTTAAGATAAAGGTGAGTCATTTCAGGTTTTTAAGCTGCCATATGATTTCATTGGAGAAATCGCTGGTCTACCATGGGAAAAAAACATTAGTGGGATATGGTGCTCTACAGGGCGTTATTAATTCAGGCTTATGTTGATGAAGACCCAAATTAAAGCAGAATAGAAAGGATCAGAAAGATTAAGGCTAAGATAAAATTGTTTAATATATTCTGTGGTCTTCTGTCCGTGTATAACCTAAGATGCTGAACATTCTGTATGACATTGTTTTGCATATAACCTAACAGTTGCCATAAATGGTTTCAAACAATAAATAAGTTTTCCTTTTCTTCATCTAAAGTTTACCTACAGAAATATTTACTCATCTTTAAAATCAGAGCCTAGTTGCCTTCTTTGGTTTGTTTTTCTTAGATTGGAAAATGTTCAGTATCCCTACCAACTCTACATTGCTCCTTCTACCAGCAGTACAGAGCGACCAAGTCCAAATGGTCCAGACAGACCTTTTCAGTGTCCAACTTGTGGGGTGCGATTCACCCGCATTCAGAACCTAAAACAGCACATGCTCATCCACTCAGGTAATGTCATCTTTCCTATCGTTACATAAATGGGCTCTTCAAGACATTTTATTTTGGAATCAAGTTAAAATAACAAATGAATGCTTTCAATTCTTAGAAAATCTGTGGTGAGTCAAATGAGAATAGATTTTCTATGTCTGTGTTTATTTACTGATACAGTTGCCATATACATTTCTGATATAAACCTAAAAAAAATGTGAATGTGTTTATGTAAGATGTAAATAAATGAGATATTAGATACATTGTTAAGTGTCTTCAAACGGGTTCCAACTCATAGCGACCCATAGTGACCCCATAAAAGGTTTCCAAGGCTATCAATCTTTACAGGAATAGAAAGCTTCATCTATCTCCCAGAGAGATAAATGTCAAAGTTGTCAAAGACTTCATTTTGCTTGGATCAGCCATCAATATTCATGGAAGCAGCAGTCAAGAAATCAAAAGATGTACTGCATTGGGCAAATCTGCTGCACAAGACCTCTTTAAAAGTGTTGAAGAGCAAAGATGTCAGTTTGAGAACAAGATGCGCCTGGCACATGCCATGGTATTTTCAGTAACCTCATATGCATGTGATAATTGGACAGTGAATAAGGAAGATTGTTGAAGAATTGATGCATTTGAGTTTTGGTGTTGGAAGAGAATATTGAAAGTACCATGGAATATCAAAAGAACAAACAAGTCTGTGTTGAAAGAAGTATATCCAGAATGCTCCTTGGAAGCCAGGATGGCCAGACTTCATCTCTCATACTTTGGACATATTATCAGGAGGGACAAGTCCCTGGAGAAGGATATCATGTTTGGTAAAGTGGAGTGTAGCTGGACGGTGAATAAGAAAGATCGTAGAAGAATTGATGCCTTTGAATTGTGTTGGAGGAGAATACTAAAAGTGCCATGGACTGCCAAAATAACCAATAGATCTGTTTTGGAAGAAGTGCAGCCAAAGTGCTTCTTGGAGGCCAGGATGGCTAAGCTTCGTCTCTCATACTTTGGACATATTGTCAGGAGGGAACAGTCGCTGGAGAAGGATGTCATGTTGGGTAAGATGGAGGGTCAGAGAAAAAGAGGAAGACCCCCAACGAGATGGATCAGCCAGGTGGCATCATTGATGGAATCAAGTGTGGCAGCAGTAGTGAGGTTGGCCCAGGATGGGACATTATTTCATTCTGCTGTGCATGAGTCAGTTCCGATTCGATGGCACCTGACAACAACAACAAAGTGGAGTATCAGAGAAAAAGAGGAAGACCCCGCCCCCACAACAAGATGGATTGGCACAGTGGCAGCATCAGTGGGTTCAAACATAGCAACGATTGTGAGGTTGGGCAGGACCAGGCAATGTTTCATTCTGGTGTGCATAGGATCTCTATGAGTTGGTACTGACTCAATGGCACATAATAACAACATGGATAATAAAGCATATGGGCTTTATTATTTGCAGTAAGTTTTTGTAGCTTGTTAAGAATTTTATAGTAGGTTAATTCTGCGATCCTAAATTTCTCTGTGCACTGATTGTAGTATTATTTTCATATGAGAGAGTTTACATAAGTGATATGTAAAACAGTTTTGAAACATCAGTGATTATGTAAAAGACAACAAACATTTTACAGGTAAAATTCAAGCTGTGTGTTTTCCTCTTCTGTAGATAAATCTCATAGCCCTTGTCCTAACACTGATTCTTTATGGTTTTATTAAAATCAAATTGACACATTTTATTTTGAAAGATTGTGTTACTTTGTTTTGTGTTGCTAAAACTGATAATGACTTGGAGGAGAACATTAATACCACTTAACAACTCACTGGTTTCTATGTATTTTTCTTACCAGTATTACATTGGTGCTGGTCATGGTGGTGTGCCACGGAGTCGGTTCTGACTCATAACGACCCTGCATTGGATTTCCGAGGCTGTAAATCTTTATGGGAACAGAAAGCCTCATCTTTCTCCTGTGAAACATCTGGTAGTTTAGAACTGCTGATCTTGAGGTTAGCAGCGTGACTCATAACCACCAGGCTAACAGAACTCCTAGTATTACATTAAGTACTTAGAAATAATGCATCAAATCATGATAACTATGTTCAAAGATGTTTAAATTTTCCTTTTTTCCTCATTTCTTTCTGAGCTAGGAAGTGAGAGATACTGATCACTTTATAATTTATATTTATATGTAAATACAGATTTATATATAAGCATAATTTATTTTTATCAGTATGTTGCTAAGGGCTATCAAGCCGGTTCCAACTAACAGTGACCCTATATGGGTTCCTGTGAAGCAGCTGATGGGTTTGAACCACCAACCTTGCTAATCCTACAGTACCACACCAGGACTCCATATAGACCTCACTATTTACATGAGAGGAGCACAGTGGTTATATACAATAAATACTGGACTATGAACAACAGGGTCAGTGGTCTAAGTCCAGTCTACAGGAGAAAGATGAGACTTTCTGCTTCCTCAAAGAATTATAGCCTCAGAAACCTATACACGGTCTCTATGAGTCAGAACCAACTCCACAGCAACAACAACATTTAAATGAAGTAAAATAATAAATGCTGTTATATGGAGATGTCCATTCTATTTAAACACTGTGATTAAAATGTGTTTTAAAATGTAAAATAGATCATTTGGGAAGGTATTCAAAAATCAGCTTGAATATGTTACCTACTTTGCACAACTCCCATGCTTTTTTCCCACCCTCTTAAAAAGCACTAGTGATTTTTGAAATGTTCTGGTACGACGTTTTCTGAGACATTAAATTACTGGTAATTTTTCTCTTTTCAAATTACCTATTGCTACAAAATTTGTCAGAAAATTTATTCTGAAATTTTAGAAATTTGTTAGATGTATGACCTTGTATTTTGTTCTAATGTTATATTTTTGTTTTCTTTGTTTTTTAGGAATTAAACCATTTCAGTGTGACCGCTGTGGGAAAAAGTTCACCAGGGCTTACTCGCTAAAGATGCATCGCCTAAAGCATGAAGGTAAACGCTGTTTCCGGTGCCAGATATGTAGTGCCACTTTCACTTCCTTCGGGGAATATAAACATCACATGAGGGTTTCTCGGCACATTATCCGCAAGCCTCGGATTTACGAGTGCAAAACATGTGGCGCCATGTTCACCAACTCTGGAAATTTAATCGTGCACCTGAGGAGTCTGAACCATGAAGCGTCAGAGCTAGCAAACTACTTCCAGAGCAGGTGAGGTGCACAACAAAAACTTAACCAGGAAAACTGCTTTCTAAACTCTCTTTTCCTGCTTTTGGGTAGGGCAGCCTGCCGGGTATTCTATCAGGTTGCTAATTAATCGTATTCATTTTAAATTTCCCACTATCCATATTCTAATCTCCTGATCTGATAAAATTTTGCTGAATTTTCTGAGTACATAGAATTATAAATATTTTCATAGTTGATAGTAAAAATTCTTTCCTACAGAACTAAAGAACTTAAATAAAATAAATTTTATTTATTTTTAATATAGAATAAAAGTAATTCTGTAGTGGATGTTACATAGATTTTATTGTGACAGATGATAGATACTTAATGATTCTGAATTACTTCAAGATTCTTTGAGTGTTAATAAAATTCTTGACCAGCTCTCATTTTTTAAAAATTCTATATAAAGGAAAGGCATTTATCAGTAAAAATATATGAGAGCAATTTTGACAGCAATTATAATGAATAGTTCAAATAAAGTCTTTATTTTTTTCTCTCAGTCTAGAGTTCTATACTTTTAGTGTTAATAATTTATAGTAGAGTTTCTTTCTTACTTAATAGAGACCTGGTATCGAATTTCAGCTCTACCACTGTTTTTATTGAACCATGTCACTTACAGATGAGGCAGCTTGAAACTTAGAGAAAGATAAAATGAAAGCTTTAAATAAGGTGATTTCTAAGTTCTCTAGATATAAAATTTTATTATCTTTTTTGAAAATACTTATCAGAATTATACATCGTAGGAATGCTTGTTGTGTTGAGTATAGTAGAGTCGATTGTCTCCTCTTAGCAACCTCATATGACAGGACTGGCCTTTAGGCTTCTCTAGGCTGTGATCTTTATGGAAGTGTATTGCCAGTTCTTTTTCTCGTGGATCTGCTAGTTGAAATGAACAGCCAATCAGTGTGCAGGCAAGCGCTTAACCATTGTACCACCAGGACTCCTTATAGAAATCATTAGTTATTTAAAAAATGAAATCTTTGTAAAGCCTTGAACTTTAATCATTTTTTATTTTTTAAATACTATTTTTCATTAAATTCCAAATTATTCTTGCATAGATTTTGCTGTTCCCATCAAACTACACATTCATTTTGTTTAATCATTACTAATTCTGAATATTTGGTTGTCATATCACTATACAAAGATTATAGCTTTCATATTAAATATTATTTATTTGGGACTAAAATAATGTTCCACTTGACCATTTTAATCCACTAGATTTACCCTGTATTTTGCAATCCTCTTGTCTAATACCTAAAGGCTTTACAGTACATATGACATAGGATGTTTTCAATGGAAAGTTTTAACTGTAAAAAATGCTTATAGTAAAACATTTAGAGACTATAGAAAAATATAAATAAATAAAAATCTGATCTGATCTTACCTCTCACCAGTATTGTTAAATTGTTGGTGTGTTTTACTGTTCACATTTCCTCTTGGGAACAAAGTCACTTTTACATTTCACTACTTTATTTATAAGGAGCCCTGGCAGCATAGTGGATTATGTGTTGGGCTGCTAACTGTAAAGTCAGCAGTTTGAATCTACCAGCAGATCCTCGGAAGAAAGATGAAGCTTTCTGCTCCTATAAAGATTTACATCCTCAGAAACCCTATATAGGGTTGCTATGAGTCAGAACCAACTTAATAGCAGTTAACAATACAAAACTAGGTTTATCCACACCACCACCACCACCACCACCACTTCATTTATGCACAAGCACTTGCCACCTTAACTAATTTTTATCTAGGAAGTAATACAAAACTGGGAGTACTGTGACTCTACAGATAAGCACTGGACTGAGAATCACAAGATCAGCAGTTCGATCCCACCAGCTGATCTTCAGGAAAATCATAATACTTTCTGCTCCCATAAAGATTTACAGCCTCAGAAACCCTATACAGGGTCACTGTGAGTCAGAACCAAGTTAATAGCACTTAACAACAGTAATACAAAACTAGATTTATCCAGTGAATAAACCAATAAAATCTTAGCATAAATTATATAAATGATCTTGTATATGTATGTGTGTACGTTTGCATGCACACACATATATACATATGCATGTATGTATGTAGAGAGTCTTGGTGTGGTGGTGTGGGTTAATGCACTGGACTGCAAGGTCGGTTTGAACTGCAAGGTCAGTGGTTCAAGCTCACCAGCCACGTGTGTGTGTGTGTGTGTGTGTATATATATATATATATATAGTTACGTACCATCGAGTCGGTTCCAACCCATAGTGACCCTGTATAGGGTTTCCAAGAAGTGGCTGGTGAGCTTGAACTGCCAATCTTGCAGTTCAAACCAACCTTGCAGTCCAGTGCATTAACACGCAGTGCCACACCAGGACTATATGTACATTGTTGTTGTTTTAGGTGCCATTGAGTCGGTACCAACCCATAGCGACCTTATGCACAGCAGAACAAAACACTGCCCTATCCTAGGCCAACTTCACTATTATTGCCACGCGTGAGTCCATCGATGCTGCCACTTGGCCAATCCATCTCGTTGGGGGTCTTCCTCTCTTTCTCTGACCCTCCACCTTAACAAACATGATAACCTTCTCCAGCAACTGGTCCCTCCTGACAATATGTCCGAAGTATGAGAGACAAAGTTTGGTCATCTATATAGATACATATATATAAATTAAAACTCCTCTACATAGACTAGGAAAAAAGCTGGTTAGGTAATTCAAAATGACATTAAAAATAATAATTAATCTTAAACCTGTTAGTAGTAGAAAGACTTAATATACTTTGGTTCTGATGGATGACTTTGGTTCATATTTAGCAAAGTTTACAAGTTGAAAATTCCTAAATTGTATCCTTCATTTAAAAATCTTAACTCAAGAATTAGTGAAATTAGAGGAGCTCATGCTGGAAGATGGCGGCAGCCACTGAGTTGACACTGCTTGAGAAATCCTTGGGACTGAGTAAAGAGAATAAATACAGTGCCCAGGGCGAGCACCAGATTCCAGTTCTTCAAACAAACAATGGTCCAAGTCCAACAGGGCTGACTACGATAGCAGCTCATCTAGTCAAGCAAGCCAACAAAGAGTATTTGTTTGGAACCAATGTGGAAGAAAAAGCAGTTGTTCAGCAGTGGTTAGAGTACAGGGTAACTCAAGTAGATGGACACTCCAATAAAGACGACGTCCGCACTCCCCTGAAGGATCTTAACTTATGTCTTGAAGATGAAGTCTACCTTACAGGCTATAACTTAGCGTTAGCAGATATCCTGTTATACTATGGACTTCATCGTTTTATAGTTAACCTGGCAGTTCAAGAAAAGGAGAAGTATCTTAACGTGTCTCGCTAGTTCTGTCACATTCAGCATCGTCCAGACATCAGGCAACATCTGCCTCATACTGTCTTCATCAAGAACAGACTGTACTCCAATTCCCATTAGAAGCTGCCCATGCACTGCAAAAGAGAGGTTAAAAACTTCGCAAACGGAATAACATAATTGATATGCAGTCATTATTTCTTGGCGTAGAAGCTAAACTTTTAAAAGTGTGAACTTTTTTTGTCCTTTATTTATAGAAACTAAAATTTTAAATATGAATGCTTTATTTGCCCTTGGGTTGAAATTTTACAATTTTTATGTAAAAATTCAACTGCTGTCTCCCCAAAAAATGTGAGTCAAGATCATGTCATAAATTACCTTTTTTATAGATGAAATTTGCTTTAATAAAAGTGGCAAATCAGTGACTGGATCTTATGGTCCTTTCCGTACTTGACATAGTTGGCTATTTATTAATCTGTTTCATATTTTAAAATGCATTTCCCCCCAGTGACTATTTAGCTAGTTTGTTTATTAAGATCTATAATGTGCCAAGGATACAGAAAGGAATCGAGGTGAATTTGTTTTCAGATTATTTATGTAAGCTAGTAAAATGTGGCTAAAAAAAGAATTAGTGAAATTAAAAATCCTAATCTTGTTTTACAAATCATGTCTTTTTACCGTATCTATTGATATTTTGAAAATTAACTCTGTGTTTCATCCTTTGCCTCTTATCTAGTGATTTCCTAGTACCGGACTACTTAAACCAGGAGCAAGAAGAGACCCTTGTCCAGTATGATCTTGGAGAACACAATTTTGAAAGCAACTCTTCTGTTCAAATGCCTGTCATTTCACAGGTCTCCTCCACTCAAAATTGCGAGAGCACTTTCCCCTTGGGGTCTCTTGGTGGGCTGGCAGAAAAGGAGGACGAAATGCCAGAGCAGTCAAAGAGCACTTCCTGTGCTGAGGCAAGCAGAGAGGATCCCTCAAAATCAGAGCTGTCTTCTATAACTATTGAGTGATTTTGTGGTTTGGCTTCATTTTTTTATTTTTAGAAAGTGCCTGTGCCTGGTCTTGTACATTTAAATTTAATTTAACTTTTTAAACAATGAAGGGTTCGGGAAATAATTTTTCTTCGTAGTTTGGAAGCACTGCAACTGATGGTTTATTCTTTATGACTGAGAGATTACTCTAAATTCACAATAAAAATTAGGAAACTTAAGAAAAACCAGTATACTTAAAATATATGCCAATTTCTTCTTCCATTGTAGAAAGGAGACTAATAACAGCATTAGATAAAGAAGAAATCAGATGATTATTGACCTTCCTGAGATGAAAGAGTATACCACAAACAAATTACTAAACAGAATTTGACAAATGGCCTGAGTAGATGTTTAGTCCTATACTCAGGACAGTCGTTATACAATATTTTATAAAGGCTGTTGTTTTTGGAAGTATTTATTGTATAGCTTTCTTAAAAATGATTTGGGTAAATACTTCTGAAATCTAAAGTATTCTTGTTTTTAAGCTTTGTCATATCTATTATAATTTTTCACGGTGAGAAGTTAGTATTGGGCTAGGCATTCCCACCCAGTACTTTCATAGCACCATTCCTCCAAATAATCTTCCTGTCTTGTATGAAAGAAGGCAAGGAACTATGATTGACAGTAGTCAACTGTGCGTGAAATGACCAAGTATGGACACACATGCAATGGGAAGTGCTTAAATTCAGCTTTATAGGAACTTTTTTGAATACTGCTTTTCTGACTAACATTGATGTGTACCAGGTCTTTGAATCGTAATGCCTGGCTAATTAGTTTATTGCCCAAGTTAGTTTTCTTCTTGTTCTATCAACCATACTTTGTCTTACTTCTGTACTACTATATAGAGAAAAAATATTGGAGATAAATCTATATTTTATATATAGGTTTATGTATTGTTGGGGATGTTTTTTATTGTGCTCTTTTGGACAAAATAAAGAATTCTTTGTTAAGGCTACAGTCTTACACCAACTAAGATTGTTTGCAGAAATCCGTATAATTGGTATACATTGTTCCTGTTCAAAAATATTTTTAGATATTGCCATGTTCATTAAAGACATTTACTATAGTTATTCATAAAAGTTAAGCAATAATGTCAAGCATGAAGAAAGTCTCTAATATTATCTGTGATTCATAAATCTACTGAGGAAAAATTGAGAATTACTCTAATTAAAGAAAAACAACTTAAAATTAATGAATATCACCCTTTTTGCTGCTAAAGCATGCATCTTCCTGGTTTATAGTTGAGATTTTGATGATGATTTTGATTGGGGTATATTTTTCATTTGATAGTATTTAAACATCACTAATCTTGGTCCTAAATATTCTTGAGTCCATGAATAATAAACTTCTGAGTAACATTATTTATGTGAATATGTGCAAAGTTAAATAATTAGGAAAGAAATTGACTGGATTAGGAAAAAATATATATACAATCCTGTAGTCATAAGACAAGATCTAAATTTTGTTCAGGGATGAGACCTTAGTAATAAAATATATTTTTAAAAATTAAAATATTTAAATTTTATTGTTTCATTTTTTAATTGGCCTAATTCTATATTTAATTATGTTTTCCCACTTTGTATAAAGGAAGATAAAGTTGAACTCAGTAAGTTTTGGGGTGGTTTTTTTTTTTTTTTTTTTTTTTTTTTCAGACTAAGATTCTGTCTCTTCCTCATACCCTTCCTTCTGTCCTTGTTTCCACTCCTTACCTTACTCCTGAACCTATTGTCTCCCCCCTTTGCTCCCAAATGCAGGTGTACTATTATTATTACGTGCTAGCTCTTCAGAAAAATCAAGATTTTGATGAACTCTGATACAGGCTACAATGAACTTCCATTATTTATGCTTATTTTCTAATAAGGTTGACTTACTACTATCTGCTGTAGACTGTGACACTTAAACTATTGCATTGTCTCAAATGAAAAGTAAAGAATTGTTTTTAATGTCATATATATTCTTTGAAAATAATTATGCATACCAATAGATATATTTAAAAGTTAATTTTCTAAATCTTATATTGTCAAGACAAAGAGTAGGTAAAATTATGAGCAAAATCGTTGTTCTCAGTTCCAAGTGTTAACTTTAAAAGGAAGAGAGGCAGAAAGTAGGGTTTAAAAACAAAAGTCATTGTATAAAACCTTGGGGTTGTGTACAACCCTTACCCTGAGAATTGTGCCTTAAAAGAGCCTTGCATAGTTGTGGCAGCTCTAAGGCCTTCTGACTATGTTCTCAGAGTAAAGGATTACCATGACTGGCTATTTTTTCCAAAATGGAAAATGTACATTCTCATTGCACAGATTTCCAGGTTGTATGGGAAATTTGAATATACTGTGAAAATGCGTTGTTTTTGAGTTACCTGATCCTATCAATACGTAATTAACCAGTATTTGACAAAATGATACAAAGGCCTTGTTTTTTCTTTCTCGGTGATGCATTGCATTTTGGGGCATTTACGGTTTAATGATATTTAGCTTATGGATCTGCTTCAGATCCATAAGGTACAAGGGATAATTGTAATATTTAATTAGATTTTTTAAAATTTCAACTCAGAGAGGAGGCCTAGATGTGTAATTTTTACTAGAATATATGAAAACTTTGCAGAGATGAAAGCCAATTATAATGCCCCAACCATCAAATTTACCAGTATAACAAAACATAAAACATTTCACTTTAGAATATTTAAGCATGGCTGTCTTTCTTAAGGCCTAAGAGCGTAAACTTTGTGATCTTCAAAGGATTTAAATTTTAGGATGCTGGATAAATTGCTTTAAAGTGAAGCATTTTATAAGAAAAACTTTTATTTTTAACTTTTATCAAATAAATGTGATATACTCTAGATATGAACAAAGGTATTCTCCATGCTATTGGATGTGGTATGCAGCTCCTGGGGTCATTGTCTGCATTTTTACAGGTGTAGTCCACTAGCTGGGGACTCATCTAGCATGGAAACAAAGGAGTTCAAAGGCTTCTATTTCTTTTGCATTTTGAGTTTTCTATAAATGGATGGAGATGGAAGTTTTAAACCCCTAAGTATATTTAAATGGATCTTTCTTGATTTGAATTTCAAGTTAATTTTGTAAATTTTCATTTCAAGTAATTAAATACACATTATTATCTTATAAAGTTCCCAATTTTAGTGAGACAAAGTTTGAGTAATCTCACTGAGTCAATCATTCTTGTATACAAAGTTTGTAATTTGGTTCCGTGTTATAACATGCTCTTTGTTATAAAAAAAAAAACAAGCCAAAAAAACCCAACCAACTTCCTTTTTGTTAGAAATTATTTTAAAATATAATAGACTAGTCAGCACATCTAATGTTAACTCTTAACAACTACTGAGCCAGATTCCCTAATAGCTGAGAGCTTTTGGAAGCTGCATTAAGTCTTCCAATCATGGTGATTTGTCTTTTAAAGACATTTAGCTTATGGATCTGTTTTAGGAAACAAATGTGCAAGGGATAATTGTAATATTTCATTAGTTTACTTAAAATTCAGTTAAGAGAAGGAGGTCTAGATGTGTAATTTTTACCAGAATATATGGAAACTGTGCAAAGAGATGAAAGTCAGTTATAATCATTTACTATTTTAGTCTCTTACTTATCTAAATTTAATAATGATCACTTGTCTATTTTTACTGACTCTCATTTTGATGATTCTCAGATCATATTTTACTTTCCTAATGTTTTAGTCCCTAAAAAATACATTACTGTATAGTACAATGGCTATTCTCTGTTAGTATACCACATAGATTTATTCTTATTACTTTATGGGTGAAAAATCCTAAATGTGTAACACTTTAAGTGAAAGGAGCTTGAGATTGGAGGAATTCATGGAAAAGAGAATTAGAAACATTTTCATGTGGTACCTACTATTTTCACTCATCTGAAAAATATGAAGTCATAGCTTTGAAATATACACCCAATTATATATAGATATATTAACTTGAAGGGGTGACCTAGTAAAATTAGCATTTGGAAGAAATAGACCCAAAATTACTTAAAAGGTAATAAATTAAATAGGATTTTCATTATAAATTATTGATTAATATGTTTAATAATATATTTAAAAATTGAAAACTATTGAGAGAAGAATATATAGAAACTAGTTTTGAGTTGATTTTTCTCTGTAGTGGTGGAACGGAGTTAGAAAAGAAGCTCTATTATAAAGATGTCTATGAGGACTTTTTATAACTAATCATACTATACTACCACAGGCTTTAAGCTAAAAATCATAAGATTGCAAGTTATCATTTCTTATTTTGCCTATATCCATTTTTCTGTTTAAGTATCATGTTTTCTTGACATTGCATATAGGATATGTGGTGGCATCGGGTATTTTTATGTGGAAAGTTCTCGGCAGGATGCATTTGCCAAAAAGCAATAATGATTTAGATTAATTAGAATTGAACCAGTTTTCAGGTTCAACTAAGCACCACTTACTCTGTGGATGTTTCATTTTAGATTTTAAATATGTTGAGCTATTATCATCACATATGTGGGAAATGAACACTATATCAGATTATGGATGTGTAGACTCTTAGAACTAGTTCCATCATTAGTATTTTTTTTAATAGTTGTACTACAGCATAGTGATTATATTTTTATGATAGAAAAAAAAAGTTTTTACAGATAGTGACACACCAGAGATGCCAGTTGATGTTATTGGAATGTCTGCTTGGCAGTGTCTTAATAATGAGACTGCCTTAAAGCTTGCTTACTACTTAAATAAACTCCCTGTGTGCAGATAGTGCCCAGGTCAGATCCAACCAATACCAAGGTTCCTGTGTACATTGTAGTTTACAAAGAACTGAAAAGTTCAGATCACTAATTAAGAACAAAAACTTTGTTTTTAACTTTTGGAGCTTTTATTTCAGTTCAAAGTGCCTGGTTTATAAAGTCAAATCCTTCGATCCTTACCTTTCTCTTTTAAATTGACTTATTTTGCTGATTAAGCTTAACGGTATGGGCTCAGCTGTGAAT